AAGATTCTGTTGTATCCAGATTATAGAGTCATACAGCACAGAAACAGACCCATTGGTCCAACTAGTCCACACCGACCTTGTTCCCAAACTAAACTAGTCCCAGGAGGTGGTTGTTGTTGTTGACATTCACAGTGAATAAAAGAAAGTCAGATTCCAATTCATTAACTGTCAGCTGTCTAGAACATTCTGAACACAACTATCATAGCTGTAAAAGCAAGCAACTTCGAGAGATGGAAACTAAACACTACTAGTCCTTAATCATTACAGTCCTAGCAGTACTTTTCACGCTGTGTTATGCTTTTTTGGATAATGGTCACTCTCTGATGTGTCCCTCCAGTTATCACTCTGCATGTGTAATCCTAATGAACATCAGCCAGTAAGTGGGCCCTGACTGGCTCAGGAGCATTGTGACCAAGTTCAGTGGTATCCTGTCCCAATATCTACACTCCATCATATTTGAACTGGACTCATTGGAGTGCGTCTGGAGCAAGATGAGGAGGGGGGGTCAGTGAGGTAGTGTCTAGAATAAGGTGGGGTGTGGATGGCTGGAACAAGATGGGGGTAAAGCAGGGTGTGGAACAAGATGCAGGCGAAGCAAGGTCTGGAGCAAAATGGGGCGGAAGCAAGGTCTGGAAAAAGATGGGGGGATGCAGGGTCTGGAACAAGATGGGGGGGTGGGGGAGAGAGAGAAGCAGAGTCTGGAATAAGTTTTATTTTTGGAGGAGGGAGGAGTTCGTCTCCCCTGGAACTTCAGACTGGTCCTTAGTGTGTGAGATGAGATCAAGTAATTCAGCAAGTCTTGGGGTGGATCCTGGAATCTTTCCAGTCCATTTCAAAGCTCAGCTGAACAGCTTACACATTTCCCTTGTAAAACACATGTTCTGATGCTCTGAGATTAAGTGGTGCTTGAGGCACATGCCTGTGCCGGAGATAGACACGGTCTATAAGTCTAAGTTACACAATGAGCACTGAAAGGCACTGATGGATCTAACCATGGACAATGAAAACTGGTTTAAATTATTACGGTGGTGACATTAAACTGTTTAAAACACCCCAACAAGCAATTCCCCATAATGAAGTGTTAACACCTGCTGCTCAGTTTTCACACGCCTTTCTGAAGAGGCTGAAAACCAGGCTCGATACATTGCCCCGTAACGCCAAGCACCACACTTAATAAAACACAAAGAAAAAGGAGCAAATGAAAGCCAGAACTGAGAAGGCAACACAATAACTGTTACATTCTTAATATCCATGTCATGAATACTTTGACCTACTGGTTCCAACCTTGATTAAATATATTTCAACAGAATTACCTCAGTCCTCCGCTTTCCTCACTTTCTAAGCAGAGGGCTACTTCAGAAATGTATGAAAATCCCGTATGACAATCGTGGACAATGCAGTCAATATTCATGGCAAAAAGTATTAACTGCAACTCTCTGCTCCACTGGTTTTGATTGACTAAGTGACGAAACGTCTGTCACTACCACACGTAGAAATGACCAGTCGCCGCTGTTGACTAAAACTGAATGAGATTTGTTTCAACTTTGAGTAAATATCCAAGTTGAATGGCTGGAGAGTTCTACAGACCTGAGCAAAACAATAATCTTTTGCTTACTTCCAAAAATTTGAGGCTTTTCCACCAATGTATAGGTTAGACAAACAGAATATAACTTTGATTTGCTTGAAGCTGCTGCTGGTAAAGGTGAGAGTACGATTAATGTTTTGGGAACGTTACTCCCTTAAGAAAGACCCTCCCCTTCTCCCGCCGAGACTGCATGCAGTACATTACATTGACGAGAATTATTCGCCTCCCCAATCTCCACCGTTCGGACGAATTATTCTATAGTCATAGAGTCATACAGACCCTTCGGTCCAACTCATTCCAAATTAACTGATTCAAACTGACAAAACAAGTCTTTGAAAAAAAAAAGTGCATGAAATCACTTCCCAACGTTGCTGCCATTATTTATTAATTCATAAATTGGGTAAAACATAATAAAAAATAAAACATTTTGTAATTCTTCCATTGGATGTAGGCGTTACTTGAATAGCCAGCTTTTGCATTAATTCACTGTGGCAGGCCACGCTGCTATGGGTCTGGAGTCACACTAGATGGGGTAAGGACACAAATTGCCTTCCCTAAATAAAGGACATTCGTGATTTTATCTTTAATTGAATAGTTACATGGTTATTAGACTAACGTTACATTCAAAGTTTACCATCTGCCATTGTGGGATTATGAACCCATTGAGGTCCTCTGTGACACTGACACTAACACTGCGGTGTTACCTCCCCTCTAATCAGTCCCAGCACTGAGACGGGAGGGGTTCGCCCCATCTTCATTGACCGAGCTGGCTAGTGGAGGTACCAGTTGAGAGTGAAAAACCTTCACCCTTCACCAGTGAGTTATGTCGCTTTGTGAAACTGCCAGGTCTTTTTGTGTGCCAGCTGCCACGATTCATTCATGAGGCAGTTCCAGAGAGCTGTTCTCTTTTCTCTTGGATCTCCTTGGAAGCGACTAATCCCTGTTTCGCCGACAGATTAAATTTACGTACCTGCTCTGGTTGACTTCAATAACTCAGTATTCAATGATCTAAATATTTAGAGACTGGTAAACGCGCGTCTGTGGGGCACGGGAGACGACCATAAATATTGTTGCTGAACAGACTTAAACAGAGTGTATTGGGGCGCGTTTTAATGCCTTCGATCAGCTGTAAAAGTGAAAACCAGAGCAGAGTACACACTCGCTGAGAAGTGTACACACGATCGCTGGACCACATTCCTGTCTCTCGCGTTGGCAAACACCAATACTTCTCATGACTAATGATGTTCGAAGTGAGAGCCATGGGTTAAATGAATGGTCTCAAAGTCATTTAACTGCAAGAGAAATCTCCGCAGGACTATATTTATCTTTAAAACGCCACTGTTTCGGTTTTAAACCAATTGAGAAATGTGAGTTTACAACGTGGCTATCTTTGTGGAAGCTTAATCAACAACTTCTATTTATAAAATAAAAACCGGTTCTGAGGAACGGTCACCAGACTCGAAACGGTAACTCTGATTTTTCTTCACAGATGCTGCCGGACCTGCTGAGCTTTTCCAGCAACTTCTGTTTTTGTAACTTCTTTTTATGGGCGCCTTTATCGTCGGACTAGGGTAAACTATAGGAGCGGTTACAAAACAAGAGACGGTTAACTATGATGTAAACTCTCCAAACCAAGGTTTCAGTGCTGACCCGTTGGTTTGGAGGCGCAGATGTAAACATCACCCAAACCTCTCCCTGCTTTGTGGCGACCGCAGGATTCAATGGGATACCACTGCGACAATTGGACAGAAGATGGGAGGGTCTCCCATTAATCAATGTTCCTTCCACACACAGTATAGCGTGCAAAACCCTGAACAGTCCCAGAAAGACTCTATGGAAGCAAACCACACTGCCAGACTCCGGCTGCATTTACTCAGTTACAGAAAATTTCTATATTTCCTTAAAGCGTGTGCGTAAAGAGTAACAGACTGCGTGGTAAGTGGACCATTGCAAATGTTGCACCACATTCAAAGGATGGAAACAAACCCTGCAATTATAGACCAGTCAGTCTAATGTCCGTGAAGCAGAACTTTTGAGACATTAATCCTGGACAAAATTAATTGGCACTTGGAAAAATATGGGTTAAGAAAAGAAAGCCAATGCAAATTTGTGGTTAGACTGATTTGTTTGAATTTTCTGTTGGAATAATGGAGGGTGGTGATGGGAGTAATGTGGTTGATGTTGTGTATATGGATTTTCAAAAGTTTGGTAAAATGTCACTTATTACACTTGTTAATAAAATTAAAGTCCCTAAAATTAAAGGGAGAAAAACTGTATGGATTTTTAAAAATGCTAATAAAGCAGACAAATGTGGTCATTTGTCAGTCTGGATTGAAGTATATGATGGCATTGGTAAGGGGCTGGCATTAGGTCAATCACTTTTTAAAATACATTAAAGATCCAGGCATCAGTATTTGGGGCAATACTTTAAAGTTTACAAAGGACACATAACTTGCAAATGTCACATAAAAACAGGGCAATAATAATAAGCTTGGGGAAGATATAGGCGGGTGAAATGGACAGACACATGGCAAATGAAATATAATGTGGAGAAGTGTGAAATGAGCGAAGTGATGAAGAGAGACCTGGAAATATATACAAAAGTCTTTGAAGGTGACAAGTCAGTTGTTCAGACTAGGAACAATCAGGGATCCTTGACTTTGCAAATGGAGAAATAAAATATAAATGCAAAGAGATTATGCTAAACTTTTATAAATCACTGGTGAGGGCCTATCTAAAGCAATGTGGCCAATTCTAAGCATTGCACTTGAGGAGGATATCAGCGCCTTAAGAATTTTACTAGAATGGTACTGAGATGATGTACTGTAATTACATAAAGACTATAGAAAGTGGGAATGTTCTCCTTAGAGCAGAGAAGGTTAATGGGAGATAATGTTTAAGATTTTGAAAAAGGCTTTGATCGAGTAATTAAGGAGAAACTGTTTTCAGTGGCAGAAGGTCATTAAACAGACGGAACTGATTTAAGGTAATTTGTAAAAGAACCAGAAGACATAAGGAAAACATTTTTACACGAGTTGTCGTGATCTGGAATACACTGCCTGGAAGTATAGTGGAACCAGATTCAAAAATAACTTCTAAAAAGGAATACTTGAAGAGAAACATTTTGCAGGCCTTTGGGAGAAAAGCGGGAAGGTGGGACATAATGGATAGCCCTTGCAAAAAGCCATAAATGTTTGAATGACCACCTTCTAGGACTTACTATAAATGATTCCATAATGGTTATAATTTGATGATGATTGGTTACAGTCAGTAATAATGAGGATTATATCTCCACAAACAAATGAGCTGCACTGTACACTCCGATCTTTTACTTACATGGCTAAACATACGACTGTCCAACTCTTTCTAGATTACATGATTTTTTATGAAGTTCCATGCTTTCTTGTCTCATCAGCTTTTCATTAACAATGAATGGCATCATTCAGTGAGTGGGAAAACTTTCTCCACCTACAACCCTTCAACAGGAGAGAAAATCTGTGATGTTCAAGAAGCTGACAAGGTAAAATGCTCTGGTGATAATGTCAACATTTCTTTCTCAGATAAAGATCAAATCATTACCATTTTAATTTCCATTAGTTTTATATGTCCAATATATACAGAAAATCATTTCATTAACGTTCAGCACAATAGGAATTGAGGGATAATATTGTCCACAATCTATATTAGTTATGCATACAATGTGTTTCAGGAGGCATAGTGCATAGTTATTTTGCACACACATAGGCTAGAAAATGCTGGAAAATTATCAGTAAATGAACAGTGCTCACCATTTGAGGCTGTAGAAATATTGACCATTTTATGGTATAGAAGAGTTTCACTAAGCATGCCAGATATAGTTTACTATGATCATTCTGTCATCATTGTATTATGCAACTAACAGAATGAAAGATGAACTTGATAGACCAAGGTTTTTATTAAGGTTCAGTAATGTCTATGTTCTAATGAAAACAGTGTAATGACTTAGCCCTGGGTGCCCCACTGATCCTGATCATGATGGACAGGATTTCTCATTTCATACTTCATGCATCAAGAATGTTTATACAATTTGCATAGTTATCCCCATTCATTCATTCATTCATTAACTTCTCAAGGACAAAATACAACAATTCATAAACACAACTGGGTTAAATTTTATTACCTTCTGTTTGTTCATTAATAAATATTTTCTTACTTTTACTCTATTCTCTCACTCTTAACCCATTCTTTCTTTCTCTTTCTTTGTTACTTACTTTTGATTTTTGTTATCTAACTTAACTAATTCACTCAAATGAGAAGAATTCTGATTCGCTACTAACTCATGGGCAATTTATGCCACTCTATATTATCCTCAATGAAACTGAGAAAACAAAATTGTAACTTCACCAATAGCTTTCCCATTGAAATACATTTCCATTTTTAGTGCATGTTACTCTGGCTGCAGCCATATAGAATTGCTGACGTATGTCATAAGGTCCCTTCTAAAGTCATTACATTACAGAGAAACATAAATCTTCAGAAAGGGAATAGTAAAGCTGTGAAGTCTCAGATCAGCAAGTAGTGAATTGTTCTTAGAGGGATTTTAAAACAAATTATCAAGGCATTTGGATAAGTACATGAATAGGAAAGATTTGGAGAGATATGGGCCAAACACAGACAAGTGGGACTGGTTTAGTATGAGAACATGGCTGCGTGTGGACTAGTTGGACTGAAGGGTCTGTTTCCATGCTGTACGACTCTATGGCCCTATAACTCTATATGCTTTGGCAGTATTTGCATGTCATTTCTGTTAGTGTTGGAGAGTAATGACTTTTTGGACAAAAAGCTGTTTTGACACTTGAGTGCAAGTAAGATAGATTTCTTTCAGGAAAAATTGTTGGGATGCAGCACATGTGTAATATGAGACATGACCTAGCAAATGTAGCATGCGTGGGAGGAAAGCAGTGATTTAGGACCCATGGTTCCCAACGCTCTCCACCACTGATGTTTTTCTTCTGTCATTTCTATGTCTATTGTAGACTAATTGATAAAGATTGATTGCTATGATCAGTCAACAATTCCGTCATAATTGTATTAGCAATTTCTATGTTCCAATGAAAACAGTGTAATGACTTAGCCCTGGGTGCCCCACTGATCCTGATCATGATGGACAGGGTTTCTCATTTTATACTTCATGCATCAAGAGTGTTTATACAATTTGCATAGTTATGCTGCTATTCATTCATTCATTCATTAACTTCCCAAGGACAAAATACAATAATTCACAAACACAACTGGGTTACAATTTTCTCGTCTTGTGCTTGTTCGACTACAAAGATTTCCTTTTTTTCAGTTTATGTCTCTTTTCTCTCTCTGTCTTAACCCATTCTTTCTTTCTCTCTTTTTATTTCTCATTCTGGATCTATCTTAACTCTAGTTCACTCTATTACCCACTCTGTCATCTGCTCCATTTCTTACTCTATCCATTTCATTAATTGATTAAGGAAATATATTGAGGTGTGGGGACCCTCAGGTTAAACCACCACCAGTTGTCTCTCACTAATGAGAGAGCAACCCTATGGTCTGGTAAGACTATAGTGACTTTACTTAAAATTGGCCAACTGAGCACAGTGGTAAGTATGTCTCAGATGTGGCATTAGCATTGCTGTGCCATCATCAGTTACTCATTTGGTAATTTTTAAATACAATAGCTCATAACTTTGAGAGATGTTATATGTGATAGTATATGATGAGTTTTAGCACTCATAATATATACAAGCATAAGTCATTTAATGTATAAACAAAATGTTTTATGTTAAAATTGAAGAATTTTTTGCCTGAAACATTAATTCTCGTCTTTTGTACACTGCTTCTACAGGCTGATGTGGACAAGGCAGTACAGGCTGCACGGATTGCCTTCTCCCCGGGCTCTGTGTGGAGGAGGATGGATGCTTCAGAGAGGGGTCGGCTGATCGACAAACTGGCAGATCTGGTGGAACGGGACCGAGCACATCTTGCTGTGAGTATTCAGAGAAACATCCTGCAGTATCAGGTATTGAATTACATGATCATCAAACTGCAGAACTGGCAAAGACGGCATTTTATTCCTACCCTTATCCACTCCGTCACTACTTATCTATTCGTCCAATTATCCTCTGTTTCCTAATAGATGGCCTATCTGCCTATCCCTGTCCAGGGGTTCATTCCTTGTGAAGAACACCCTGTTAACAGAGGACAGATAAAATAGTTAAACTAAAGATAAATAAAATAACATTAAAAATAAAGTGTGGCCAAAAATAACAAAACAGAAACCTGAGGAAGCCAACCTTAGAAACATAAAACTTAAACACATACCTTAAGACAATATATCCCTAAAATATATGTTCCTAAAACATGGACCCTAAGTATGTACTTTCACTACAAAAAAACCTAGAAACATAAACCTTAAAACATATACAGTAGAAACATCTACAATAGGAGAATATACTCTAAAACACATAGCCTAAGAATGTACATCTTAAGAACATATACTTCAGGAAATGTAACTAAAAACGATGACTTCAACTAATATTGTTTGGAGGATCTGTTTTCAAATGGGTTAGTAACCATGGATCCCCATCTAAAGATTCTGGTGCTATAATACTTAAACAAGAGAGCTACATATGAAGAGTATTTCTCTAAGGCTTTTAAGAAACTTGTTATTTACTTTTATGATGTTTTCAGTGCTCCTCCATGTACAATCCCCTCCTCAGTGAGGCAGCCAATTCATTCTGCTGTGCATGTTGTGGTGATTACAATCTGTTCCTGCTTCTTGTACTTACACATGAACTTTTTAATCCCCATACCCCTGGAAAGTTTCTACTGACCCCTAGGAGTTCAGTGACTCTAGTTCGTGAATAGCTACTTCAAAATATGTACCCAGAAAGCATCAACCTAACAAGACATAGCCTTGGAGCATTTAGCTTAGAAACAGACTCATACAAGTGCGAACAATTTCGTGTAGGAGAGAAAAACAAATTAGAAATATTTTGTTATCTATGAAACAAGCTTCTCTTTGAATTACTTTTAAACAGAAGATAAACTGTTAGTCAATGCTTATCTATTCATCCAATTCTCCACTGTTTCCTAATAGATGGCCTGACTCCCTATCTCTGTCCAGGGGTTCATTCCTTGTGAAGAACACCCTGACATTAGCCTTATCGTTTCCTTTTTGTTTATTCCCCCAATTTGTTCTCCTCTTCCTTCTAATAATAATGCACCTGTTATGAACACATCAGAGGGCTAAATTTCTACTGGTAGCAAACTGGTAATGTCTTAGGTAGATTCCCTTATGCACTATTATAATGCAGAGGAAAACACTCTGCAAATGTATTAACCAATGTCCCAGTGGAGGAAGTGAAACACCTAAATGTCAGACATCAATGGGAAATATGAATAATCCATTTTATGATCCTAATCACATTAACACACTCATCACTTCATCAATCATGAATGATATGGTTGGTGTCCAATTGGATACAGTGCACACACCAAGCAGACTGATAGGTACCTTCAAGTAAGTAATATTGAGCAAGGCATGCTGTAATCTCACTTTCTGTCTCCAGATTGATTTATCATCTCATTGAATTGCATTATGTTCTTTGCAGACACTTGAATCTCTAGACAGTGGAAAGCCATTTCTCCAGGCTTATTATGTTGACCTACAGGGAGTCATAAAAACTCTCAGATACTTTGCTGGTTGGACTGACAAGATTCATGGCAAGACAATTCCAGTCGGTAAGTCGAATAAAGAAAGGGGTCCATTGGTGTTTCTGTTTGGCAGGAATTCAAGCAGGGAATACCAAAAACTAAAGTTGAAATGAGACTTAATGAATAAGCTATACCGGTGCTTAACTTGACTTCTGTTTTAACAATCTCTCGTCGGGAGGCATGAACTTAAAGCTGGTCTTACCTCCTGTGAGGAATATGCAGATAAGTTAGTTAAACATCAGGTGCCTTGTTCAACTACAGCAGAGCTTCTGTACTTAGTGGTAACACTAGGTAGATATGCCTGATTTAGATATTGTAACCTACACTAAATAATATTTATTATTGACAGACTAAGCCTGGTCACAAGCATACTTAGAAATTTTAGCATGTATTTAAACTAAGAGTCACAAAATTTGTATGTATGGAATATGATGTTCAGTCAGTAGACTACAGTCGTATTGTAATGGATGCTTTTGAAGTGTAATTTCAAACTGTGGTTGATAAGTGTAAAGGACTGTGATAGTGCTTGCTTTCAGTGCATTCAAATGTGTGATTAAGCTTTTCTTCATTAGTAATTGATAGGAGTGTGAGCATTCGTGGCAAGACCAGCATTTAAGTCTGTCCCTAATTGCCCTTCAGAGGATGAGCTGCCTGCTTTAACTGCAATCTGTCTGTCTTGGGTACATTTACAGCAAAGCTGGAGTGGGAGTTTTAGGATTTTGATCCAGCAATAATGAAGAAATGACAATAAAGTTTCGGGTCAAGGTGTGTGTAACTAGGAGGGGGATTTGGATGTGGCTGTGTCCCCATGCATTAGCTGCCCTTTTCCTGGTAGACGTCATGTGTTTGAAAGGTATGGTTGAAGGAAAGTTATTGGGTTGCTCAGTGCATCTTGTAGATGCATCTTGTAGGCAAAAGGATTGAATGTTAAATGTATTAGTTTGGCTTCCAATCAAGATGACTGCTATGCCCCGGATGGTGCAGAGCTTCTTGAGTGTTGTTGGAGCTGTACTCATCCATGCAAACGAGATTACTATTTCACACCCTGACTTGTGTCTTGTAGCTGGAGGACAGGCAGCTACAAGACACACTGGAGAAAAAGTAGTTGAGTTATTTGCTACAGAATTCCCAGCCTTGGATATTGATGCTACAAGTTGCAGCAATGGCATTCTTACTGTCAAACTGAAATGTTTAAGTCAAAAGGCAGAATGCTTTGGATGCTGGAAGTTGGAAACAAAAATAGAAATGCTGAAAAAACCCAGTAGGTTCAGCTGCATCTGTGTAGAGAAAGAATAAAGCTAGATTCTCTCTTGTTTGAAATTATCATTGCAGACACTTGTGTGCCATTAATCAGCCCAATTCTGTATAGATCTTGCTGCATGCATACACAGACTGCATCAGTACATGAGGAATTGTGAAGGATACTGATCATTGTACAATCATGAGCGTCCATTTTCACTTCTGACCTTATGATAGAGTGAAGGCCATTGATAAAGCAACTGATGGTGCTGACAGTTGGGCTTAAATTTGGATTTGATTGCTGGTTTATACTTGCCCTTTTTGCTTTGATGCATGTCTGAAATCATTTCAAATTGACAGGAAACTGGCAGTAAACTCTAACCATGGAGATCTGATTATTGCAAATCATACTGTTTCCAAAGAAGTGTCAGATACGGTTTACTTTTCAGATCAACCCAGTTGATTAACACTATAGTTGTACAGAGAGTTTCACACTAATCGAAAGCAGTTTCTGATTTATATCAATGTAACTGCATGACTTAGGGGTCACTGTTGCATTTACTGAGCACTTTATAAAGCTCAGTATTGAGTTTCTTAACACATGAAATCAAACTTTCTTCTCCTAACAGTAAAACAAAGTTCCTCGGGAACATAACTTTGCAGTTGAAATTTGGTCTTGACCATATTCTACAAAAATTGGTCTCAGTGTAGCATAACTTCACCCCAAGTTTGATCTGTCTAGATAGCTGATGTAAAAAATTAATTGCCCTCTTATGCATAACAGAATCTTGGAAATGTCGCTTGGTCCAATGTTTTACTTTGAACATTCATATAGTTCAATAATTGTGGAGAACAAAGAAACTTAAATATATACGTTTAATTATGACATACTCCTGACCTCAGATCAGCACCCCTGCAACTGTGGGACAAAGATTAGCTACACTAACCTTTATCAATTCCTGTCCACATAGAGACAGTTTTATAAGATTTTCCAAACTGGTCCAGACTCAAATTATTCAGTGTCCTAATGACAGACAAAATAGAACAAACTTCTAACTCAGTTTTCACTCTATTGGAATGTAGATACCAAGATTAAAAGGATAGAGTAACAGTTCACAGCTCCAATCATTCCTTGAGATTCTCCCTTTTGGAGATCTCTCCTTCCTTGCATTTCCCATGCAATGTATTAACCTTAGCTGAGATTGTTAGGAATTCTTTGTCAGACTTCCATTGATATAGTTGGTGATTTTTGTGAATGACTTTGGAGAATTGCCTGCTCCAGTTCCTATTTGGGAAGTGCCAGTGATTGTACAGATTAACTTCCCAACTGGTGTTGTCCAGCCAATCTCTGCAGTGGTACACCCTTTAAAATCTGCGTGTTGAAGGGAAATTAAGTAGCCATGACCCATAAATATGTGTTACTGGTCTTTGCATTAGTTATTGGAGAGTCCTTAATGCTGCTCAGCCCTCAGTGATCTGAGTAGAACTAACAAATTTCAAAAACATCAGTTTGGGTCAAATGACCACTAGACCAGTGCGTTTTGTGTAAGGTCAAAACAATCTAGTCATATCTAACTTAGTGATGAATGAGACAGTTCCCTTCTGATCACTACCACTTGAATTCTCTCAAGTTGAGGCTATACAATTGTTGACAGAAACTAAAATTGGGGATTGTTGATGTCCTGTCTCCCATTTGTCATTGTCACTCTCTATTTTCACCTCCCTTTACGTTCCAAAGGGGAAAAGAATGAACCACAGCAGGATTGTATTCTTCAAATATTATTGTATTAGCTCTTGAAATTTAGTTACTATAGGACGGTGTACACACATTAGATTCAAAAGAGCTTCTCAAGTTTCTTAACTTAATTCCTTTGAGAGCAGTAGTTTAGCAGATTTTTTTTGATAAGTTTCCTCTATAGTGGAAACTGCTTTTAAAAGCACCACTTGATTAAAATGTTTAATCACAGGGAATTGCAGGGTTAGAGCTAATGAGTTCTGGCTTCCAGAGTGGGCGTATATGATGGAAAGACATTAAAGAACTGGTATAAATGATGACAGAGTCAGGGCCCAGATGTCTTCCCAGTTTATGCTGCTTTGACGAGTGGGAGGGGAGACAGAGTTATACTTTATAAAATGCACATGCAGTGAATCTGTCAGTCTGGAGCAGTAGCACTATGAAGCCAGTTCAGACGTCTGTGTAACTTAGAGCCGGCTGAATTATGATCAATGATAAATCATTTAACAATCTATGTCCAATTGAAATAATTACAATGTTCAAGGAATATTTGCAAGTGGGTAGGTAGTTTAAAGGGGGTTTAAGAACATAATTTTCAAGTACAGCTCATCTTAAATTCTTGCCTCTTTGATAATGAAACACAATGTCATTGCTTAAAAATGAATCATTTTCTTAAAATGCTGCTCTGTTATTTTCAAGAAACTTTCTGCTGTAATTTTATTGGAGATTTTCATGTGCCAGGAATTCTTTAACCCTCAAACCACCCCACTTTAAAAATTACTCAAAAAAAAACTGATGTCTTGTCAGTTGTCATTTCTAAAAATTTACAACAAACTCGAAATTAAACCATTGTTGGGTTTTGGTTCGATTCTGAAATGCCTTTGGGATGTCAGTTTTCCCTCTGGTGTTTCGACAGCCCTTTCCGAAGCTGTGATTTATACCTTACAACTGTGCCGTTTTCCTGCTAGTCCTGACATTCTGGGCGTGAGAATGGGATTTGTTTATTGAAATGCTTAAAGGGGAAGATGTACCGTCAGAACTCCATTATAAAATCCCACAGTTGAAACAAATTCTGCTGAACTTTAACATCCTTTCATTTTATTTCTATTTCTGTTGTTTCAAAAAACAGAATTTGTTTAAATGGTCTGAGCCTGATGACAGCATAAAAGAAACTAGCCAAGAGGAGATGCTTATCCCAATAATGCAAGGAAGTTGAACTAAGATTAATAGATAGTATCGAGATCTTGGGGTGCTTCAGCAATGGTGTCATTCTAATGGCATACGTTAATTTAGTTCCTTTGCGGTCTTGAGCTTATTGACTTTTCTAGAATAACTTTTTTCAATTATATTTAAAAAAGACAATAAAATAAAGGAACTTAAAAAATTGTTTCAAACCGATGCTATGGCACATTTGAGATGAGTGTTTGATATGTAAAACACTGCTGCTGTAGATTGAAACATAGTCTCAGTGTAATCCTAATTAGTTATGACTCTAGTTTGGCTGACAAGTCAACGAAGCATTAAAAATTCAAACATATTTTGGAAAATGTTCTCATTAGTACAACACCACTCATGCCAGAATTATTTTTAGAATTAGTTCAGCTGGTAACTGTTCATGTAAATAGTTTCTACCCTTGTTTTTCCATTAATTTGTATATCTCAGCAGGAATCCTGTCCTTTTTGAAGGCAACATTCAATGCGCTTATTTGTATCTAACGAGCCACTGGAACAGCTTTATCTTGACATGTTCTATGTTCTCAAATGACAAGTGTTCATGCATTTTAAGCACTTGCAGAGAGTTCAGGTGTGGTAGACATCAAAGTGTGGAACATCACAGGGAGGTTCCAATGTAAAAAAAAAGTTCCTTTAGGCACCTTCAGGTTGGTGTCAAATGTGCAGACCTCATTCAAGTGGACTCCTGCTGATCCCTCCCAGACAGGAGACATGCACATTAGTTATTTCCAATGAGGATGAAAAATAGACTTTCACTCTGTGCCTCTAAGATTGTTCCTTCTCCTAGTTGGTTCGTAAACTGAAAGATAAAAACCTTTGTTAAGACGAATAAAATGTAAGCATAGCATCCTTCACACCACTTTTATGTGCAAATCTTGGAAATGTTGGCACTAATGATTATTAAAAGACAGTCCATTAAAATGTGGCATTAAATTTAAACTATAGAGATAATATGCAAGGGTGTTGGGAGAAAACAGGAGACTAACATAGGTAATGATGCTCATTTGTACAGCCAGTGTAGGCATGATGGGCCAAATGGCCTCCTTTTGCATGGAACAATTCTGAAATTCTGTGCACCTGTATTGAAATGTAAAGAAATAAGTATTTAAGAAAGCATTAAAATGGGCCTCATGCTGTCCTGATGAATCTGTGATTTTATCCACTCAGCAACTGAAGCTACACACTGAAGGGCCTTACTTTGAATCTTTGATTTGTGCAGAAGGTTTATGAGATTTCCAAAAACTGTAGATAATAGATCTAACAATGTAAATACCAGGAATCAGTTTCCAGAGTTCAAATTTAAAAACTGTATTCAAAGGATATTAAACTGCTTCAACCAGCGTATCAGCTGGGATGTCACAATTAGTCCCAAACACCCTGGATTAGAGAGAGACATGCAATACTACACCTCATGCTAATCCAGTAATCTATCATAGAAGAATAAACTTCCAAGTTGGAGACAGAAAGAAATGACTTGTGTTTATAGAGTACCTTTCATGAGCTCAAAATGTCCCAACATGCATTACAGCCAAAGAAATGCTTTTTGATGAATTGTGAAAAAAAGTTTAATGCATTTGCAGATATCTTCAATCTTAAACTGAGAATTGCTGAAACAAGTGAAAGATTGCCTCTTGAATCATCACACAAAAATAATTGTCTCACGTATGTCACTGACTGCTTACTATTTACAGAATATAAACACTCTGGAAATTGTAAAAGTGTATATGTTTCACCACATTCTTCCACCAAGTATAATTGACTGGCAATAATTTGACTGTGGGTGTTGAATGGCGTGGAACTTGACTATTTTTATCATGGGGTTGTCCTTTAGCTGATCTTGGACTCCAAGGTATAATCGCCGCCTGTCAATTTACTATTTTAAAAAAAGTTCCTAATGACATATCTTCCAATACAGCATCTAACCTTAAGAAACTGACAAGATATTTACAACTCCACATCAGACTTTTGGATTTGGCCCAGTGACAAGCATCTGGGTTCACTCATAATTTGAATTTATGTTGAAGAATAAATGATTAAGCATTTGTTTCACACTTTTTCATTGACGCGTTCAAGCTAATGGTTTGGCTCCAGTGCATTCTATGAACAAGGCTAGATGAGTGTCCACCATTCACAAGATATTTGTTTTTTTTATGGCTGTAAAAGGTGGGAAATATTCTTAAGCAAATAACATTAGAAGTTAAGAAATAGGTGCAAGAGTCAATCTCAAAACCCATTGAGCTTTTTGTTTCTTTCATTATGATCATGACTGATCTTCAGTTTCAATTTCACTTTACTGCTTACTCATTACAGGGGCTACTGCCATAACGTATGTTCCGGCAACAAAAATTGGCTATAACACGGTTGACAAATAGGGAAACGCTATTCCTAAAACGCGAACTTGTGTTGGCTATAACACGGTTCCATCAAATAGACATCTTGCTGTCAGGAGCCCTTTGCTAATGATGCCTACAGGGTACTTGTACAATGCTGTGATTCTGAGTCCCAGAGAAATTCTCCCTTTCAGCCTTCATTAAAACTGAAAAGTAAGAAGCCAACAGGTCTCTTATCAGGAAAAGGAGGGTGTAGGGGAGAGTGAAAAACAGTATATCTAACCTACTTTGAAAGGAAACACTGTGAGGCACACAACCTGGGTACAACAGGAGCTCCAACAGCCTATTTAAATAATTGGTTAGATCATGGTTGACTTATGGTTCAACTTGATTTTCCCACATTTGCTCCATATCCCTGGATACTCTTGTGGTGTGGTGATAAGATCACTGAAGGAGTCTGAGTTGCTATGGCAACCGACACATCATACATATGTCGCAGTCTGGAATTATGGATAGTGGCGGTAGAGTCTCTAATGTTCTTTTTGTCATACGGCAGACCAGGAATCCCTCCCAATCTTACATTCTGCTACTGGCAATGTTGGAAGAATTTGCCGATTGATACTCAATCCTTTTAGTCGCATTGTGAACAAGAAGGAGCTGTGAAGCTGCTGTCACAGTCAGACCAACCTGTCTGAACAGCTGCTAACAGTAGTGCTATCCTATGTGTTATGCTTTTATGGTGGTCTGCCCCTAAACCTGCTTTTCCCATAGGCCCAGTTATTTATTTTGTACAATTTTCTATAACACTATGTTGTGCTGGAACGCAACTATTGCTTCATAGCAGAACCCCCCTGTATAGCCCTTGATTCCCTGACAGACCAAATAACTGTCTATCTCAACCTTAAACATTCTCACTGATGGAGCACCCATAACTATCTCAGGTGAGGAACTTGAAACATTCACAACTACTTGAGTGAAAAGATTTCTCTTCATCACAGTCCAGATTTAGATTGGGAAAAGGGAATGTGCAACAAGACCTGGATGCCATTGTAAATTGGTTGCTGAAAGTAAGCGTGCAGGTGTAGCAGATGGCGCAATTGTGCTGAGACCGCATTTGGAGTATTGTGTTCAGTTTTGGTCTCCTTAAATGAGGAAGGATGTTCTAGCTGTGAAGGGTGTGCAACAAAGGTTTACCAGACTGATGCCTGAAATGGCAGGTCGGACACATGAAGTGAGACTGAATTGATTAGGATTACATTGACTGCGCTTTAGGAGAGTCAGCATGGTGGGGGGTTTGGGGGTGGTGGTCTCGTAAGAACCTATAAACTTCTAACAGGATTTTACAGGATAAATACAGGAAGGATGTTCCTGATGAGAGGGGATTCCAGAACCAGTGGTCACAGTGGACACAGAGTAGGCCATTTGGGACTGTGTTCAGGAGAAATTTCATCACCCAGAAAGTGACGAAACTGTGGAATTCTCTGCCACCAAAAATGGTTGAGGCCAAAACATTGAATGTAATTCTTAGGGCTGAAGCAATCAAAGAGTATGAGGACTGGGTACTGATATGGATGACCAGCTGTGATCGCAGCAAGTTTGAAGGTCTGCATGGCCTATTCCTGCTCCTATTTTCTATGTCCATGTTTCTAAATGATCAGTCCCTTGTTCTGAGAACATACCCCTGATTTATAATCCTTCAGCCAGGAAAACAATGCCTCAGTATTTATACCCTGACAACGCCAGTCAGTATCTTATACGTTACACTGAACATAAGCATATGAGGAGGTGATGCCTAGTGGTATTATTGCTGGACTGTTAATCCAGAGACCCAAGTAATGTCCCGGGCATCTGGGTTCAAAGCCTGCCATGCATTTCACTAAACGTCTGGAATTAAGAGTCTAATGATGATCATGAAACAGTTGTCAAAAGTTTGGAAAAAAACCATTTGGTTCATTAATGTCCTTTAGGGAAGGAAACTGCCATCCTTGCCTGGTCTGGCCTACATGTGACTCCAAACCCACATCAATGTGCTTGACTCTTAATTGCCCTTTGGACAATTAAGGATGAGCAATAACTGTTACACTGTCATCCAGTGGATCAATAAAAAAAGTCTTCTCCTGCTTGTTGGTTACAGACTTATATTAGGATTGGAATTAGAAGGTGGCAAAAGGAATGGATTTTACTTAATTACAATGAAGACAAGTACATTGGGGAAATATTAAAATGAAATGCATTGTGAAAGTTATCTTTATTGACAATCAAATTGTTGAAACAGGTTTAAAACAATGATGTTAAGCATATAAGGGCAACCTACTTGGTCCCCTTTTATGACAGGGATTTTTATTAAACAGTTCTCGCTAATTTTTTTCATGAAAATTACATTCGTTTGTCAATATTATAACTTGATAGTAAAATATAGTCTACATATTTTCTCTCCTGTGCAAGTTGATTAATGTGCCGAGAAGTATTTAATGTTTTTTTTGTGCAGCCAAATCAAACAGGAATGATGAGTAATTGCAGACCTTTCTTACAGATGGAGATTATTTCACATTTACAAGACATGAACCAATAGGGGTGTGTGGACAGATCATCCCTGTGAGTATTATTCATCAACAGTAGGTGTTTATATTCTCAGAAATACCACAGACGAAAACTGAAGAGCAAAAAAATTTTTAATCTTATTATTTGTTCACCTCTGACACGAAAGGATAACTTGCAGCTGGCAATCCTTAAGTAAAAACTCAGCCCATTGAATAAGAGGCAGAGCCTATTTTCAAACAGTAAAGGGGACTTAACTTATTTATTTGGCTACATTCATAGTTAATTTAATGCATGTATTAATGGGAGCAAATCAGCACCTTACATTCTTTATTAATCAAATAAAATCTTTGATCTTGGTTCAATTATTTTGTATAGGGATTTGAGATTAAATGCAGAATAAATTCTGAGTGCTGCAAATGTGTTACATTAAAAATGTGATTACAGAAAATTTAAGAGTACCTTCCAACAGCTGTTGTTATTCTTGATAGCTGGATATGTACAATGTGTATACTTTGTAATGTAGATTGAGAAGAATCCAAATCTAAACAGTTAAGTGCACAGCAAATATCCTAATAAATTTCATGCGTTATGTCTGTTTCTTACAGACAGTAAATATCAGTATGCTTAGATCTATAAAATGAATTAAAATATTTAAATCCCAAGGGTGGTAACATTTAAGTTGGCAAATTTTGAGTTTGTATAATCAAGTGTAAATGCAATACTGTAGCCTCATACTTTACTGTCATCACGAGTATAGCTTTTATATGTCAATCACTTTGAGTGGGCAGTAATTGCAGTATAAAATTGTTTTCTATTTAGATGTTTCCAAGGATCTGTATTTATACAGGGGAGTGATTTATAGACAGCATGACTTGTGTAACATGAGTAAAATAACTGTGTCCGGGCACGGAAGAATTGTATATTTTGTAAACAGGCTGGATGAGTAGAAAAATAAGAGAAAGACTTACATTTATTTGGTGCCTTTCTCAACCAGCAGACACCTCAAAACACCTTATAGTCAATGAAGTAATTTTGAGATGGAGTCACTTTGACAATATAGGAAATATGGCAGCTACTGTAAATTCTCACAAACAGCAATGTGATAATGACCAGGAAACCTGTTTTTGTAATGTCGATTGAGGGATAAATATTGACCAGAAAATCCTCTGCCCTTTTCTAAATGCAATCTTTTACATTCATCAAAACAAGCAGACAGGTGCTTGATTGAATATCTCACCCAAAAGATGGTGCCTCTGACAGTGTAGCCTCTCTCAGTACAATACTGGAATGTCAGCCTTGAGTTTTGTCCTTTTATCCCGGAATGGGACATGAATGCACCGTCAACTGAGCAATAGCCAATACCAATTAGTAGGCCTGAAACCTTAATCAAAGATGTCAATGTAAAGTCTTTTCAAGTGATGAATCTTGCACAGCTCAGATCACTGTGTTCCTTTTCCAAACCATGTTGCTGGGAAAAAAATCCAAGCAAATGCCAAACACAGGGTGAGAAGGGACATCATTTGGACAGAGTATGCCAGCTCCAGATAACTCTTGTTCGTCGTTTAACAGTTGCTCCAAAGGCTAGTATTTGGAGACGCAGGGGTTAGGCAGCCAATCTGACATCCTGACTGCAGGGAGGTCTCAGAATAGGAAGAAAATGCATGAATAGTCCACTAATCACACTAAATGAAATATCAAGGTTGAATTTGGTAACATTGTTTTTGGTTAATGGTTCTAGTTATCTCAGAATCTAAAAATATTTACAGAATCTCTGAATCTTACTGCTGTCCAGATTTATCAAAAACATGAACAAAGTTAAAGTGTAACATCATTAGCCATGTTTCAATGAGGTTTCCCTCTTTCTCTGGGAAATTGTCAAAATCGTGAAAGAACAAAAAAAAGTATTGTAAAAAGAAAGCAAAAGAACATATGTTGAATATTGCAAGTACAATTTTAATGAAGTGCAAAACAAAGGAGTTGTTGCTATGTCTGAGAAATATAGCCTGTAAGTTAGCATTAATGCTACGATAGATCAATACTGAACACAGTTACATGTATCTAACATTCCTTCATCCATTATTTCAATGGAAGTATTAAAATAAATTGGTGAATTATCTGATTTAGAATAAAAGGCAGAGGAATGTTGTGAGAACGTTCTGGGATGTTGGAGATTAACAATGATTTTCAGCTTAAATATGTATATTTACTTTTATGTAACTTCAGCAAAGGTACTACTTAATTACTGTACAGAAATGTACAAACAGTCTTGTCGACAATTGGTCTTAAATTATCATGAGCTTTTGTCATCAGAACATGATTTTGCTTATCCCTTTACTAAAATCATCTTCCTGTTCCTCATTTGCCTGCAGTGGAATTTTCCCCTACTCATGTTTGCATGGAAGATAGTTCCTGCCCTGTGTTGTGGTAACACAGTAGTCATCAAACCAGCAGAGCAGACACCCCTGACTGCGCTCTATATGGGAGCCCTTATCATTGAGGTGTGTTCCTTTTATCTTCATTTTCTTTTACTTTCAATGATGATGTAAGTAGTGAGGTCTGACAGATCCTCTGATATCTCCCCAGTTTATTCTGGGCAGCTTTTCCTTTGCTGAACTTGTTTCATCTAATCGTGCTTTCACAGGCTGGTTTTCCTCCAGGTGTGGTCAATATTGTGCCTGGATTTGGTGTGACGGCTGGTGCAGCAATAGCTTCTCATATGGATATCGACAAAATCGCATTTACAGGATCAAATGAGGTACACAACTTGCAAGAAACACTGTCAAAATTAACACATAGGTTGCATTGGCTTGGAATTAGTACTTGTGAGTTTATACTGAGTCGTTAAATAGCACAAATAATAGTATTAATTATGAAGTATTTGCATTTAAATAGTTTTATCATGTCCCAAAAATGTTCTGAAATACTCCACTACCAACATGTGGAAGTGTAGTCACTGAATGTAGTACCCAAATGTGGTCAGCAATTTGTACACAGTATGATCACAAAATGAGATGGAAGATTAATAAGAATTATAGAATCATTGAATTTTACAGCACGGAAAGAGGCCATTCAACCAATCATTTCTGTTCTGGCTCCCAAAAAGCTACCAACCCAATGTCTGTAGCCCTCTAAATTCATTACTTTCAAATATATATCCAGCTCTTTTTGAAACCTTCTATGGAATCCGCCTCTACCACTCTCCCTGGCAATGTATTCCAAATCCTAACAATTGTCTAAGAAATTTCTCTTCATCTCACTCCTAGCTCTCTAGCTGACAATCTTGAAATTGTGACCCCTAGTTAATCTCTCTGATGGTTGGTTCAAGCTTAACTTTTGGCAAAGATCTAGAAAGCACATTGCCTTCCACCAGATGAGGTTATGGTAAGTTTTAAATGAGGCAAACAGGGTTTTGGATTAACATCCCATCCCTGCAATGCACTGAATAAGTTAGAATAGATCACAGCCCAAATCTTCCAGTCAGCCCTTTATCCATCGCTGACAAGAGAGAAAAAAAAAATTACCCACTTACCTTCCACGGAGTTTTCTGACCAATATTCCACTGGAGTATTCTGGGTTCAGAAAAGATTTACAAGAATGTACCAGGGTTAGAGGGGTTGAACTATAGGGACTGGCTGAATAGTCTCGGGGTATTTTCCCTGGAGCATCAAAGGCTAAGGGGTGACCTTACAGAGGTTTATAAAATTATGAGGGGTATGAATAGGGTGAATAGCCAAGGTATTTTCCCCAGGGTAGGGGAGTCCAAAACTAGAGTGCATAGGTTTAAGGTGAGAGGGGAAAGATTTAAAAGGGACCTCAGGGGCAACTTTTTCATGCAGTGAGTGGTGCGTGTATGGAACGAGCTGCCAGAGGAAGTGGTGGAGATTGGTACAATTATAACATTTAAAAGGCATCTGGATGGGTATATGAATAGGAAGGGTTTAGAGGGATATGGCCCAAATGCTGGCAAATGGGACTAAATTTAATTAGGATATTTGGTTGACATGGATAAGTTGGACCGAAGGGCCTGTTTCCATGCTGTACATCTCTATGATTCTAAATGTTGCAACTCCAATGGTGTAATTGTATCTGCCTCTATCACTTCCTCTGGCAGTTCATTCCATACTTCATTCCAGCTCATTTTTTCCCCTCTCACCTTAAATCTATGCCCTCTATTTTGGACACATCCACCCTAGAAAAAAGATATTGGCTGTTCACCCCATCCATACCCCTCATGATAACTTCCTATGCAATTTTCATAGAGTCAGCGCATCAGGACCTCCACAGTATCCCAATGATCGCCTTGGCTCATGCATCCAAAAGTCTTCAACTATCCCGAGCCCAGATATTCTGGTCTATGTGCCCAGGTCCTGGAGTAGGGATGTAAAGCCATGTCTTTCAGACTTGGCAACAGATACGCTATGAACTGGCCCAAACTGATACTTAGATCAAAGAAAGAGAAACAATTTTATTCAGAGTTTGAATGACTACTATCTGGGAGTTGCTCATTGATTCTTTCATTCCAGGAGATTTCTGGATAATCATGGAGTGTTGACAAAATCAGTGTATATTGATATGGTAATTAGGTAGTGAATGAACTCAGATACATCAAATGAAAAAAAAGCTTTGAACACTTTAAAAAACTTTTGGCCCAGTCACAGGCCAATTAAGGGAGGATCCCAGATCACTGGTGCCAGTTCCCAGCTCCTACTGTTGCAGGGAATATTCCCAATTGCAAAGCTGCAGAAAGGGCAATGGAATGCAGGGCAGTTTGAAAGCGTTCCATCAGCCATCAGCACAGTTACTGTGGATCATCACAGATAGACCAGCACATATAATACATACAACTAACCTTTCTCTTAATGCTCACTTATGTCGATTGCATATGACAGTACCTCTGTTGATTTTATGGTTATTAATTACTATTAAGGCATGATGGCCTTTTATCAAGCAAAAATTGGTGATGTCATTTTTCATCAAAATTAATAAATTCATCGCAAAATTTGGGTTAGAACTTTGATTTTTAGAAGCGATGGCCTGAATTTTATCCCAGGTTTTGGAATCCCCATGTTAGGTCAGGTTGGGGAGAGCTCTGGAGCTAGGCTAATGTAATCTTCATAAAAAATATAAAAGGCTCAGAGGGGTCTAGGTGAAGTAACATCATGGAGATAATTGGAACTGTGGGGGAGGGGAGAGGCACTGCCTATCCTGCCCAGCACCCACATTTTGGGCCATGAACGTTCTGGCCATTAAAACCTCTCCTCCTACACCCGGCCTCCCTCCCATCTCCATCACTACCCTGCCCCCCTACACCATCATCCCTAAATGCCGAAGGGAGCTAGAAGCTGCCCTATATAGTGAGGAGCACTCCCTGTTGACCTTAAGTGGGCCTTGATTTATGCTCATCATCTGCCAGCCACTTTGCAACTGGCTCCAATCCACATCTGCTCCTGCTGTTAGTAAGAGAAGCTGCTGCAGAAGGACCACATTAGGGTTGAAAGAACTACAGATGCTGTAAATCAGGAACAAAAACAGAAGTTGGTGGAAAAGCTCAGTAGGGCTGGCAACATCTATGAAGAAAAAAGTCAGAATTAACGTTTCGGGTTCAGTGACCCTTCAAAAGGTCACCGAACCCAAAACGTTAACTCTGATTTTTTTCTTCACAGAGGCACCAGACCTACTGAGCTCTTCCAGCAACTTCTGTTTTTGTTCCACGTTAAGACTGATTCTACGACATTTCCTGAAATTTTACCAGCCTCTTCCAGGGACCTATAAAATCTTGGCTAATATTTAATTGCCAATTCATCAATGCTAATCATGATGTACTGGAATTAAGCTTTTAAGGCTGCACAAATAACTGAAGAGCCATTTAACCAATATTAACTGGAGTTCTAATACTACAAAGATAATTCAAGTCTATTCGATGCTTCAATGGATCAGTGAGCACATGAGGCGATGCTCCCCCCCATCAACCCCCCCCCCCTCCTGTAAAGGGCATGCATGAATTGGCACAGCTGGTAATTCTGTAACCTCTGAAAACACTAGAGTGATTAGTACTCGGGGTGGGGGGTGGTTAAGATTAATGATGACATGAATAGCAGACGTTCTGCATCCTATGCAGATCGATAGATAATATCCAGCTTTTCGCCAATGCTATACCTTCAATTTTTGGAGCATTAAGTATTCAGTCTTGTATACAATTAGCACAGAGAGGGTTACCAAACACATGGGGCAATACGTGTTGACTACGTATACCAGTGATATTGTAACATAAAGCAAAATTAATTTGCTTTAAATATGCCTCACAATCTGACCTTCAGTTATTGTGACAGAAATGGAAGCAAAAGTCAATTGGCCGACTCTGGCAGGGTGATGTGGCATGCCAATTAAGAGAAGTGATGATTTTCACTGTCAGAGCTGTACATTGCAGTTGGTTGATTGATCTTGTAGGTTTTCATCTTAGATCCAGTAGCACACCTGATGCTCCATCTATCTGCAGAGTCAGAGTTTCCTTGCCTGAAATGCCAAGGTAACTCATTTTGTTGCAGTAGATTTAATAAGGTTGCGCATCCATTGTACCTTTTGCATTTCCAGTCTTCCCTTTCTTCATATTTTCCAGTAATATCGGCGCTGGCAGACGCTGAATTGATGTTCTTATGCAGAAACTGGTTTGATTTTTTGTGTTGATAATTGCATTGCTTCTTTGAAATTATTAATGCCAGGTCTAACCTATAATGAAATAGTGATTTTTTGATTTGAGTGTGCAGCTGTGAAAGACTGAATGAGTTCATACTTAATGATCTTTACCACAGCCTTAACAAGCAAAATGCAGACATTTCATTCTTATTTTGCTATTGTGTGCTAATCCATTTTTGGACACAGTGTCATCGAATGGTTACAGAGCTAAAGGAGGCCATTTGGGTCATTGAGTTTTTGCTGGCTGTCTGAAAGAGTAATTCCCGTAGTCACCTTTACCTCAGGGCTCTGCAACTGCTTTCGCTTAAGAATATTATCCCACTACTTTTGAGAGCCACAGTTGAATCTGCCTCCACAATGCTCTTAGGAAGCACAATCCAGACTGTATCTGCTGGCTGAGTAAAAAAACACTTTTTATGTTGCTGTCCTGCTTTTGCAAATTGGTATACTCTGACTGTCAACTTGTACACCTATCAAGGGACACTGAACACAAAGCAATGGTGCTTTACTAATTCACTTTTTTACTCATATGAATACAAAGCAAACGTAGGCAAATTGCTTTAGGTGTTCTGAAATGCTACTTAGCACAGCAGCATAGGGTGGACTTCTCTTTATCCTGAAAAATCCCTGCAGCAAGGTACAGCTTGCATGTGTGACAGATGTTGAAAGGCATCTTCCTCCCAATTCCAAGGATTGAACAAAGTGCATTCAAAAGTTGTATCCAGCGGTAATAAAACCGAGTCAGAATAAAAGCCCATATGAAAAGAAGGGAAATTTAAAAGACAAAGAAGAAAGATTCAGACACAAAATCTGAGGGGATAGTTTCACCTTCAACACTGTGCATTGCAGAACACCCTGTGCCAAAGACACACGCCCAAGAAAAAGACCAGACTTCCATTCACATATTTCAACACCACCAGATGATTCAAAGTACATTGCAGGTGGTGCAGTGCTTTTGTCATGTATCGTAACACAGGGAATACAAAGTCTCACAAACAGCGATATGAAAATGACCAGACCATTTAAGATATTGATTGAGGGATAAATATTGCCAGGTCACTG